GTGCAGGCCCAAGTGGACGCCCATTTTGGACCGAAACCGGCACCGCCGCCAAAGGAGAAAGTGCCTGAGAAAACGATTGATCACTTCATTCGTATGGCTAGAGCACCAGCTCCCAAGCCTGTTGACTCAGACTATGAGCGCCAAATCAAGAAGCTACATCGAGCACGGCTACAGAAGGAAGCGAGCTCGAGCTCGAGCCAACAAGCAGCTGCCAAAAAATGCGGGGAAACCGTTCCCTAGCTGGGAGAAAAGGCGGCGCAATCGATCCCCCCGCTTATTGTGCCAACAACACATGAGAGTACGCGCCCCCAATATTATTGTGGGCAAACCATTAACGTTCCCCAGCTGGGCGATGTGGTAATAACCGAGGAGCATATAATGTAGGCTAAAATGCTCAGAATCACTGTTGGACAACTCCTCGAAATCAAGTCCATGCCTCGGCTTAGAGAGGACAAGATAAAACGAAAATATGTCCGTGGCCAACCTTTGGTCGAGCCAGACAAGGTCAAGAACCTCCCAACGAGAATGTATGAATTGCATCAATGGTACATGAATATTACCAAGATTTCCAATCGAGAGTCCCTCATGGTGAATGTCAAGCATGACCATTACTTCCATGAGAAAGCTCTGTCCGTTGAGTATTCAGAACTATTTCAGTTATACAATCAAGACGCACTCGACAAGTCTATCGTCAGTTGCTATTGTCTGTAAGTGATTTCTTTCTGTAATTTAAGTCTCAAGCTAGCTATGTAGTGATCATTTTGATCAATCATTACATGTAATTATTCTCACTATATTCTTTTCTGTGGTATTATATGTAGGATGAAGATGTATGAAATGAAAAAAATCTGGACGCTATGGCATTGGGTTCATTGACCCAAATACCATTAATGAGTACACATGGAATCTTCCAACTTATCGAACAAGTTTAGAGGAAAGCATGCTAGAGTTCTTCAAGCGCCTCAATACCAATGAAGATATACTACTTCCTTACAACTTCCTATGAGTCACACTGTCTTGTACTACAAATTCTGTTTTTGCTTACTAGCTAGCTAGATGTTACTAATTAAGTGTATACGGTTTACGGTAGTTGATTAATTTTATGCACATGCCCGCTTAATTAAGACATGCAAAAGTGTGCGCATGCAGTTTCCACTGGATCTTGTTAATCATTAAAGTTGACAAAGGAACAGTTGAAGTACTGGACTCACTACTTAAGGAAGATAAAGACTACACCATCATGAAGGGGATAATTAATAGGTAATTTCAATCATTATTAACTATATCTCGGCCTATTATTATTCGTCATTTCCTGATATATGAACTATTTAATAACCCCTTTATTAATTTTCTTTGCCGGCGGGCAGGGCTTGGGCAAAGTTCATCAAGGTGACTCCAGGCAAATGGGCAAAAAAGTTGTTTTGGTATCGACCAAAGGTAAGTAATTAAGTAGTACTAGCTAGCTACCATATTTTTAATTCTTGTTTCAATACCATTAATTAATTATCATGCTTGATTAATCATTATCTGATTCAATTCCATTCTTGTAAAGGCCCTGAAGCAGGTGCAGGGGAATGATCTGTATGCATTCTACGTTTGCGAGAACATTTGTATGATGACGTCCGAAAGGAGCAGATCTCAAAGGCAGGACTGGGTACGTTTGTTAGAATACTATTCACACCATTATCGATATCTAGTCACACAACTAATACACATGCATACTGATCTCCTTCTTAACAATCCAGAGAGGTGCGGGATAAGCTCCTACCAGCAGACCGCATACTAGCACTTCAAGAGGAAATAGCCGGATTTTTGCTCGACCAGGTCATAGATCCCAAAGGAGAATACTATTACCCGCTACCGCCCCCATGAACCACTTGTCACCGTGCTCCGAAGGCACCAAGGCAACATTGTAGGATAAATTGTATATGTATATACATGTGTATGTGTGAATAATTAATGATGTTGGTTGTGAGACATTCGATGATATATATTTATATATATATATACGGTTCTACGTACGAGAAAATCTATTTATATATATGCATAACGTGTACAATTTGTAGTATAGTGAAATACCAGTAAAAAAAAGAATTAAATGGAAAATAAAGACAACCCCCCCCCCCCAAACATTTAGTACCGGTTGGTGTTACGAACTATACTAATGTCCTATACGCACCTGGGCCTGGCTCGTGCCACGTGGTGACACTTTAGCGCCGGTTGGTGACGAACCGGTACTAAAGGGGGGACCTTTAGTCCCCACTCTTTAGTGCCGGTTGTCGAACCGACACTAAAGGCCTTTATGAACCGGCACTAAAGGCCGGTTCTTCACTAGTGCTAGTAGTGTTGATTACATCTTGTAGTTGATGCTAGTTGGTTTATTTGGTGGAACATCATATGTTCAGATCTATTATGCTATTAAATACCCCTCTGATCTTGACCATGAATAGGTTTTGTGAGTAGTTTCTTTTGTTCTTGAGGACATGGAAGAAGTCTTGTCATAAGTAATCATGTGAATTTGGTATTCGTTCGATATATTGATGATGTGTATGTTGTGATTCCCTTAGTGGTGTTATCTGAATGTCGACTACATGATACTTCATCATCTTTGGGCCTAAGGGAATGCATTGTGGAGTACTTATTAGATGATGGGTTGCTAGAGTGAAAGAATCTTAAACCATAGTTTATGCGCTATTCCGCAAGGGGCTGATTTGGATCCATATGTTTAACACTATGGTTAGATGTTATCTTAATTCTTCTTCCGTAGTTGCGGATTCTTGCGAGAGGGGTTAATCATAAGTGGGACGCTTGTTCAAGTAAGAACAACACCCAAGCACCGGTCCACCCACATATCAAATTATCAAAGTAGCGAGCGCGAATCAAACCAACATGATGAAAGTGACTAGATGAAATTCCCATGTGTCCTCGAGAATGTTTTACTTACTATAAGAGACCATTCCGGCCTGTCCTTTGCAACAAAAAAGATCAGGCTACCTTGTTGCACTTATTGTTACTTTTGATATTTGTCACTTGTTACAAATTATATTGCTAACAAACTATTTGTCACCGTTAATTTCAGTGCTTGCGGAAAATACCTTGCTGAAAACCGCTTGTCATTTTCTTCTGCTCCTTGTTGGGTTTGACACTCTTACTTATCAAAAGGATTACGATTGATCCCTTATACTTGTGGGTCATCAGCTCTCCCCGAAGATATTTGGCATGAATAAGCTACAACCATAAGCCCCCTCTCCCCGCAGAATCTGCCAGACCCAATGCAGCATGAGGGCAATGCTCATGAAATGTGAGGCAGTAATACCTAGACCGCCCCGGTCTTTGGCATGCAGATGTCCGCCACTTAAGTCTTAACCATGTGGTATTTTGGACGGCCATTGGCAGCCTGTTAGAAAAAGCTAGCCAAGTCCTTATCGAAGGACTCGTGTAGTCCCTCCGGCAAGAAGTACATCCCCATTATATACATGGGGAGGCTTGCAAGGTTAGAACCTATAAGGATAGTTTTGCTTCCTTTGGAAGTGAACCTTCCACACCAAGGCTCCACGCGGGACGCTACTCGCTCTGCCAAGAATGGAAGAGTTTCTCCGTTCTCCCTATCGGAGACACTGGCCTCAGAAGGCCAGAAGTCCTTGGCAAGGGAAGCCCCACCACGGGGCTCCGCTGTGAAGAGCTCCTTATAGAAGGAGTAAATGTGTGCACTAATCTCCTCTGGCTGTTCCAGGAGGGTGCCTCCCTCCCAGAGACATGGAATGGAGCACTTTCACCTACGACCATTAGCAATCGCCTGGAAGTAAGCGGTATTTGAGTCTTCCTTGAGAAGACAATTCTAACCCCCACGGTGTTGCCACAAAGGCTCATCTCCCTTGTAGATCTCCATAAGCAAGGCCCAAAGGGAGTACCGAAGGATCCAATCATTAGGCGCAATACCCACGCTATCGACGCGCTCATCCAGCACCCTAATCTGGTCCAACAAGGCCCC